GAAATGTAGACAGTACAGTGTCGATTATTTGAAATTTGGCTTCATTCCATCATTGCCGGACAAACAATTGCATATGTGCCTTTTATGCAACAAAGTTTTGGGCAATGACGCTATGAAACCATCTAAACTGCATGATCATCTGAGAAGATGCCACCCTGATAAAATAGAGAAAGATTTGAAATACTTTCAAACACTCAAAGATAAATTTCAGAAGAGACCTACACTGGACAGAATGTTCGCTTCGACGTCACAAAGAAACGATGATGGTTTGCGGGCGTCGTACAATATCTCGTTACTTATAGCAAAATCCGGAAAACTGCATACTATCGGAGAGAAATTAATTTTGCCAGCCGTTGAAGAGGTTTTAAAAACTGTTTTACACAAACCTGCATCTGATATCATTAAAAGAATTCCCTTAAGCAACAATACTGTTGAAAGACGTATTGATGAAATGAGTTCTGATATTGAAAGCTTCTTATGTAATTATTTGCAAACGACCCATTTCTCTATACAACTGGACGAGTCAACTTTACCTGATAATGCAGCATTATTATTGGCATATTTTCGTTTTATTATGAATCAAGAAATCTACGAAGAACTGCTCTTCGCAAGAACTTTGATAACCGAGACTAAAGGTGAATCAATATTTCATGTTTTGAAGGATTACTTTATTGAAAAAGCAATGCCTTTATCAAATATAATATCAGTAGCTAAAGATGGAGCACTTGCCATGGTTGGACGTTATCGTGGATTTATAAGCTATTTAAAACAAAATGTGTCAGGGGTGTTAGCAATACATTGCGTCATCCATCGACAACATTTAGTTGTTAAAAATTTGAGTGTCACTCTACTATCACTTCATTTAGTCATTGATGCAGTAAACCGAATCCAAAGCAACGCGTTGAATACGCGGTTATTTGCGCAGTTGTGTGAAGAAAATGACGAACACTTTCATCAATTACTCCTTCACACTGAAGTACGCTGGCTGTCGAAAGGCTTATGTTTGACAAGATTTTTTGCACTTTTTGAGACAATTTTAGAATTTCTGGATACTAAAAATAAAATTTTAAAAGAAAATTTAATGAAGAGGAAAACAGACATCGCCTATTTAACAGATTTGTTTACAAAATTTAATATGGTTAATTTGCAATTACAAGGCGACAGTTTAAATTTGATTAGAACAAAGTGCATCATATCAGCGTTTCTTACCAGAGTTAAACTAATGAAGCAAAATATTTTTTCAGTTTTTTTTCAGAATTTTCTCAGTTCCCTAATTTGTCACAGACAAGCTGCCAGGAAGACGACGTTTCAACTTACGTTCAACATTTAAATGCCCTCTATTCAGATTTTGAATCTAGGTTTGAGGATATTTTGACTATGGTAATACCACCGTGGATAATTAATCCATATGGTGATGTAGAAGAAACGAATGTCATAATACAAGAGGAACTGACTGAACTAAGTACAAACTAAGAACTTAAGGTTCAGTTTAAAAACGGATATCAGCAATTCTGGCTGCAAAACAACATACCCGTTACTTATCCCGTATTATGGAATATAGCGAGGAAATTTTTAATTTCCTTTTCATCGTCACACCTAGTGTAAAGGAGGTTCAGCGCTGTTACCAATCTCCTAACGAAGAAAAAAAGACTGGACATCATTAGCCGAGGAGATTTAAGATTAACCCTTACAAAATTGACGCCAAATGTTGATAATTTATTATTAAAGCATCAGGTTCATCCTTCTCACTAAAAATATTGACTTATTGCTTATGTTATTTTATTTATAGTTTATTTTATGTTTATTTAATGCTACGTATATTTTACATAACAGATACAAAATTTTATTTCGAGTAGTTTTAATTTAAATTCAATTAATAAATGTATAAATTAACATGTGTTTTTACTTTAAGATTTTAACACTAAATTTCACTACAGTTAGAAATTTACAGGAAATCAATATCAGGTAAGTAGGAGGTCTACCCAACACGGAAAAACATGGCAAGGGGTCTACGACACAAAACAGTTTGGGGAACTCTGTCCTAGAATATATTTTTATAAATTGAATGAAGAACTATACGGTATTTATATCTGCTAACTATCACTATCATATTAATATTATTTTATTATTAGTTACGAATTTCGAACTAATAAAACTTTAATCATTGACTATAAATTAAATACTTTAATAATAAACTCTGATGAGGGCGTTAAGAGTAAAAATAAATTAGTCGGTTCGCCATGCAGCGCCACTCTCTAATAGAGCGGACTCTTGAATAATAAATAGGTATATAAAGAACTAAGAGCAAGAGCAAGATTGTCGACGCGATTCCACCTGTGGCACCGCTCTCGAGCGGTCATATCCAGGTAGTCCGCGCTCCGGTTCCCGCACGGAAGCGCCCATCTCGCCCGCGCGCCTCCGCTCTCCCGTTCGTACCAGTCGGGCTGTTGCCGTTGGTGAGTCATCCTTCTTAGCACCGTTCTTGCCCCCTCGCTCCGGCGGGGAGGTCTGAGCGATTGTCTTGCTTTGCATTGTTATTTTATTGTTATTGTTCTTGTTATTTTTACTGTTTATGTTTCTTGTTACTATTTTGTTAATATTGTGTTACTGTTTCTTGGAATAGGCATCGCTTGCTCTTTTCAGAGCAAGCTCTTTGTTCTTCTCAGGACATAGGGACCCCAGTTTCTTGGAATACATCGTTGACCTCCCAGTCCACCCTACATGTCTACCATAAACTTAAGCCCATTTGTGAGCCAGATTGCGGCCTTGTTCCGTCAATTAGGCCATAAACAGGGAGTACCCGTCAATGTTGACGAAACCCTTCTCTTCTCTCTTCTCAACCAGGCCCCCATTGTCCTTCAGGCATATAACCCTCCGCCCGTCATCGCGACATTCTTAGCGGAGGATGACTCCGAAGCTATGAAGCACTCGGACACCGTGTCTGAAACGTGTCGTCCACCCGTAAGAGGTCCGCTCCTACGTCGATCTCCTCACCCAGTAGCTGCTCCTCGGACTCATCACAGTCCGATCAATCAGTTATTGATACGACCCCCTTTACGGAAGTGAAATCCAAGCGCGGTTCGAAAGCGCTGCGATCTCTCGCGCACCTCCCGCACCCCCCGCGCTGGCTCGCTCCACCGCAGCCCCCGAGCCTGCTCGCTCCACTGCAGCCCCCGTCGCTGCCACAAAGAAACAGGTCGCGCCCCCTGTCTTTCTCAGGGACAAGGCGCAATTTACTAGACTTTCTAAAGTCTGTTACGACACAGGTTTAAATATGACCCAGCCACCAACCTTGGTGAGTCAGTTAAAATCGTTCCGCAGTCTATAGAAGACTTTAGAAACATCACCAAACTATTCACATCCGAAGGTGTGCCCTATCACACCTACTCTCTCCCTGAAGAACGTAAAGTCAGGGCTGTCCTCCGCGGAGTTCCCTTTGAACTCGCCAACTAGGAAATCCTGGAGGACCTTAAATCCCAGGTATTCCCAGTTGAGGCTGTACACAAGATGCATAGCAGTAGGGGCAAGAGGTACTCGCTTGCCCTCCTCATTTTGTCCAACATGCCGGAGGCGAAAGACATATTCCGACAGGTACACACTGTGTGCGGCCTGTCGAGAGTCAAAGTGGAAGCCCCATATAGGCGCGGTTTTCCGGCGCAGTGCCACCGCTGCCAACTCTACGGGCATGCGGCGGCCAACTGCTCAGCCCCTCCCAGGTGCGTTAAGTGCCTAGACCCGGACAGCTCGAAAGACTGTCCTCGGCCCCGTGATACCGAGTACCCACCCGCTTGCGTCCTTTGCGGACAGACCGGCCATACGGCCAACTTCAGAGGCTGCCCTCGCGCGCCTCGCCCCAATAGCGGCAACAAAACTGCCAAAAAAGCTCCGCCACCGATCAATGACCGTACATTCCCGGCTCTCCCATCCAAAAAGCCCCTTCAGGGCAACTCCCAGTCACCTCAGGACTTATATCAGCCCCCTCAGGGACCCTATAGGCCTCTTCACCTTCGCCCACTAGGGCCCCGACATCAGGCGGAACCCTCTTACGCCGATAACGTAAATACAGTATACACTGCTATCCGCAATATCGACTTAAGAGAGATCACAATTTTAGCACGCAAACTGCGCGCTTTTCAGTCCCCTCAAGACCGACTGCTCGCGTTTACCGAGCACCAACACCTTATAAACTCAATATAAGTAGTTACCCCATTCGTAAGCTGCCTTAATTAGGCAGCAACTCTTCCCAGCGGCTACTCGCCGCTAGCGCCCCCTTTCACCCAAGGGGGGTCGCGTTCGATACGGCTTAGAGATCTCTAGTTAGACCGTTAAGCCAGTCCCTAAAAGGTGGGGTTTAGTGGGTAAAAGTCTCCACATAACCACGCAGCCGGCTGCGTGGTATGCTATGAGCATTCCCCACCTCCCTCACCCGCTTTCCGGAGGGTTCCCACATTTGCTCGAAAAAAAGTACAACGTCCAAGGGCCACCTAGGTCGTTCGCGAACTACCCAAGACTAATATCAGTAGGTATTCAATGGGCCACAGCATTTACATACAGCATCAGGTATACCGTATGCCAAATCAAAATAAAGAATTGAGTATTCTCAAGACCATACAAAAACTGATATAAGATTTTTTTAACTACGTTTACGGTAGAAGTTCTGCGATTTTATGTAGGTACCTAACTAAATTTCTGCGCATGTGAACTATTAGTGGAAAGGATATAACAAGTGCTTTTATAATGATATAAATTTCATTTTTTTTATCCGCTAGGAACTTTGTAATATTATCATTACCAACTGTCCATTGGTTTATTCTGTCGTTCAAATAATTTTATGAACAAATATTAGATAAGGCTGTATGACCTAAGACCTGCATCAGCCTCAACAACAATATCTATTTACGGCTGCTGACTGCTGACCATAGATAACCTAATATAATTGGGAGCTACTGCTGACGGATCATGATTTGAAGTGGATAGAAGTTAAATGTGTTATTTTTGTGATGAGTGTTCGTGTTATTTTTAAGGTAAATCTTAAAAAGTGTCGTATTATATTAGCCCCTCAAAGACACTTTTTTCAAACGAAAGAAGAGTTTATGTATTTCCTATCTTCCGTCTAGACTTGTTTGCCTAGGTGGCAATTTTTTGATGTCAATTTTTTGGAATATTCTTATTTTCTCGGACTCTATAAAATACACACATTTTTTTTGTTGATAAAAACAGTGTTAATATCGACATTTTTTCCGTACGATGACTAATTACTTATTACAATACGCATCAATGTATGACATGAAAATGGATGACTATCATATTCTTTAGTAAATAAATAATATTTTGTATTTATCATTATTCTTTGGTTTAGGTATGCGATATCAATTTAGATTTTTATCATATCATAGATTTTTAATTTAATTTTAAACTTGATGAACAGTTTAATCAGTTTTTTCAGCGTCGTAAGGAAAAATACAGTAGGTACTTACAATTTTATTAGTATTACAGTACTTATTATCAAAATTACAGTTTTAAATAGCTAATTGATGATGCATTGTCTAAAAAATATCTGTATGTATGTGTAGCGATTTTAACCTGAGTAAATTATCTATGAATGTCTTTCAATGTAATGAAAGTAATTGTGAGTGTTTAAAAAATCTTAGATTAAAAATATTCTTTTTACATTAATTTCATATTTTTATCAGTTGTAGACAATGGCCTAATAAGTTCTAAAGTTGATATAAATTTAATGCACAATGCTATTATGTGAAGTAAAATGAGGCTATAAATAATTAGAAAATATTGAATAGGAATGAATTGAATAGAAAACTGAATTGAAATTCATAAAAAGTAAATAATATATTTGAAAATTTTCAAATTTGAATAAATATTTGTGTATTCTTCTTTTATAGTGTTTAAATAATAAAAGATTTATGAATTTTCATAATTTTTGTTACTCCAATATACCACACACTAAACACTACAACAATGAAATAAGCAATGCATATAAATACATTTTGTAATAAAAAAAACACATCTGGTAAAATGAAAAACAATTTAATGTTTAAATCATTATCAGTTACAGTCAAAATCAGTTATATTATTTGGTCACAAAAACTAATAGTCATAACAACCTGTGATATTTTTGAGGTACAATACAAAGTAATTTTTTACGTCTACCTCATAATATGAGAACAATTTGACTGACTTATTGGCGTTTTGTTATAGGCAATTTTTAGTGAAATTTGTTTTTATCGTAATTAATTCAAAATGCATTTCTGACATCCAAAAACAGTTTAAGAGGTTCAAGCTTAACCCTGACAATCCTTAACTGAAAACATATTTAAAATCAAGTACTGGATATCTATAGCCCACCCAGTAGTATTATTGAATGTATATATGTATATATAAATTTCACATAAAAGCCATAATATGAAAGAATATTTTCATTTTTCCGTATTCATATAATCTGTAATTTAGTCTATTTAAAACACTTCTGTTATGTGTACGAACTTTGTAGCATTGGATTTTAATTAGTGTTTCGTCATAATTTTACCTGGATGTGAAACTGTTCATCAAAAGCGAACAATATTTCGTACTATACTAACAGAATTGAGACCTAATGATTTCTTATATTTACGCGAACATTGCACATGATTAAAACTACTTTCCCCCATAGTCCCCCGTGACCATGGGTGCTGGAAAGCGCCCGAAACGTCGGGAATTAAAAATAAAAATAAAAAGTAAGAAAAAAAAAATAAACGCGATAAAATCCGTAAAAGTAGTTTTAAGAATTGAGACCATCAATCTAAGTCAACACTGTAAATTGTTTTTCAGTCTCTTCCTGTTCTTCATTATTTTTCTCTTGAACTTGTACAATCTTTTGTAGCTGGTGCACAAATTGCTATAGTTATCTAAAATTGTTAGCTGCAATTTTATGTGTAACATTTTCCTATGCTTCTACTGAGTCATTACTGTTAAGGTTTGGTGTTAACACTTGCAGTCTTCTAAAATTAGATTTTAAACATCTTGTGACACCTTGATCAATAGTTGGCAGTACAGATAAAACATCTGGTGGTAAGAACACAAGTCCAATGCACTTTAGATTATAGTAAACAACCCTGATGAGCAGGAAAATTTTAACCAAAAGTAGAATTTTCTTATTCTTTGCTTTAATTTAAAGCATCTCGGTTTCTTAGAATTGCCGATAACTAAATGCTTCCTTTTAGAGGATCCTGTAATATTTGCTGCAACCATCATCGTTAGTCTTGTCTTAAACATTTTTCCACCAGAACTATTCTCTCCTTTTAATTTTAAAGTCCTGTCTGGTGTCATATTATAAAAAAGTCCAGTTTCCTCTGTATTAAAAATGCCTTCATATAACATAGGCAACTATTGCAGTATCCATTCTTCTACAACACCATTTTCTGCATTAAAAATGTTTTCATATAATATAGGCAACTTTTGAGGTATCCATTCTTCTACAACACCATTATTAACACTGGCAGCATCATTACTCATTTTCCCGCCGTCGATACCATGCTCAGTATGGAGACGTTGAATCTAACTAGACGAGCAAACGAAATCTTCACCAAAACGCAGAGCAAATTTATTTGCTTTTTGTTGAAGAATTGGTCCATTTATTGGCATATTATTTGTCCTTTGATATTTAAGCCACTTTAACAAAGCTTCCTCAATCTTCGTATGTTACGTTGTTCTTGCTCGTGTCTTTCAAAAAATGCAGTCAAAAAGTGTTTAAATTTTTTCTCTCTCTTTCCAAATTATTGTCGTTGTTGAGTGTGATACATTATTTTTCTTTTGCCAAGCCTTTGTTTGGAATTCAGCTCTCTATCTTTGATATAAAAAGCGATTTTCCTTTAATATTGTTTTGTTTTGGTCTTTGTGTTTATGTTAAAAGTTTCACAATTAACTCAACAATATGCTTTGGTGCATCTCGTGTACAGGTAAGTAACAAACGGACTGAATACATGTATTTTGCACACTCTGCTTGCACATGTATTTTGTTCCTGAGAATTACAAAAGACCCTAGTCTCGACACATTTTTGTATACTTTTGCAATCTCAATAGCTATTGGCTATTATACTGTACCAAATGTGGATATACTGTTACCTATTTTTGTTTACAATACAGCTGGTCCTTTTAACAGATACAATTCTCTGAAAATATTAGTTAAGTAATGTCTGTTAATGAGATATGTCATAATAAGCAATGTCTCAAAAACAGTGAAAAAAAAGCAGTGTTTTATAAGGCAATCATATAGCATTCAGCCGGGACCTTTGATTTTGATCATATAACTGGTATGTTGTTCTGAGGGATGTTGTCATAAGCAGTTTTTAGTGTATTAATTTTAATAGCCCTTCATAAATCCTCTGCTGAACAGCACTTTCCTCAAGGAGTGCCACAATTTTTTTTTAATATTTTATATATTTTACATAAGTAACATAACTTCTTATAATTTATAATTTACTAATATACCACTCTAAATATTTAAAGTTTTCGACATGATAACCCTAGTTTTAAGTTAATAATAATTATTTAGCAAAGTAAACAATTACATTTATAGCCACATTAATAGATCCCACCCCAGGTGAAGTCAGCATGTTGCTGGTTATAAATGTTATTTTAAAATTAATGTACCTACTTGAGTACATATACAATTATTTTCAAATGTTTTCCCATTATTACAAAATTTCCAATTAACAAAATAATATCACACTATAACAATATACCATTATTAGCAGGTTTTTGTTATTGGTACTGAGCATGTTGATGGTACTGGATCGATAAGCAGCTGTTTCTAATCCCATTCTTTATCCTTATGTACTGTAATAATTTTTTTTTCAGTTGGCTGTAAATACTTTTGAAAAAATATAATAGAAGATACATTTATATTTTTTCAAAATTATATGTAATAATTTACTTACTATGGCAATATGGGTGAAATGTACAAATAAATAAACTATCTATTTGTCCAGAATGCCAATTCAGGCGCCGCAATGGACGGACTACCTCAACTGTCCAGTGTGTTGCCGAGAGTTTGGCCCTCCTCCTCGGAGCCCCATTAGTTTAGGATGTGGTCATACTCTCTGCAGACATTGCCTCAAACATCTGCACCGAAAGCAATGTCCTTTTGATCAGGTATGTATATAGTTTATTTTAGTCTTAAATTAATTATAATTGTTTTTGGACTAGCAGGCTGAAAATTGTTCTTTTTAAGAAAACTTGTGCTTCACTTTATCAATTCATGTTCTTCATTACAAACCCCGTTCTTTAAATGATTTACTATATACATTCTCTGACAGTGTTCTATGATTCCACAACATGAACTACAATGAAGTTGCAGACTTCTTAGGTAGGTAACTTGGCACCTGGGGCTACATCACCACTTACCATCAAGTGGGATCTTGTCAAGCACTGACATATAATAATTATAAGTAAGAATGTAAGCCTTCCTAAAAGGAATAAATAAATAAATAAATAAATGCCCCCCAAAATTTTATACTCAAATGCTCAAATGCTACTCAATTTTAAGATGTCGTTAAATCTGCTAAGTTTTTAAGTCTCACGGTCATTTACTGTCCAAGTGATGTCGTGACATGTCGCAGACTTAAAGTGATAGAGAGCACAAGACTACGGCATCTTAAAATTGATTAGTGTTTGTATATTTATAAGGCATAAGTGAGATACCGCATATCTTATGTAGTACTAATGTTGTAGTGGCTAAGTAGACTTAGGATATTGTCCTAAGTCTACTTAGCCACTTTTCTATCAAGATTTTTTGGTCATTCTTTTGCACTGATCAATGGTCAAACTTTACAGCTTGGTGGTTAATGTTGCTAGTTTTTCTTTTTACATACATTTGTTAGAATGTTTTGCTCTTGTTTTTAATTTAAAAAAATCGTGATTATCTAGATTTAGATTTATTTGAAATTGAGTTTTTAAATTAAGCAACACAAAGAATACTTCAAGGTCACTTTTCGATAGTTTTTTGAGAATTTAAAAAATTTAAGAAATACCTTAAAATATTATTACCATAATTTATTTTTAATGCAACATTCCATTCCTCTAAGCCATTGCACCTATACATTCTTAGTCTTTATTAGATGTCTTGGTAGACAGTAATAATAGATAGGTAACAAGCTACCTGGTGGTAGCTTGTTACAACAAGGTGTTGTTGGTTGATGTTGTAAAACAGGTGACTGAGACTAATCATAAACTACTTTTTGTAATAAGACGGAATATGTTTATGTGAGTTTTTATCGTAAAACCTTCTGAGTGAATCAATTTATGTAGTCCTACTCAATATTTATGTACAACTTAAAAGGTTTTTGTATATATTTTTTTATAGATGATGGGGCAAGTGAGCATACGGTTCACCTGATGTTAAGTCACTACCGGCACCCATGAACATTCGTAACACCAGGGCGATTGCAGGTGCGTTGCTGTTTCTTTAGAAACGAGTAAGCTCTTTTCTTGAAGGTTTCCAGGTCGTATCGGTCCGGAAAAATCGCCGGTGGTAAACTTCCACAGAGAGGTCGTACGCGGAAGGAAACTCCTTGTGAAACGTACAGTGGTGGACCGCCAAGCATCCAGATGGTGTGGATGGTATCGGGACGTTTGCCGCGTAGTGCGTTTATGAAATTTGGCGGCTGGGATTAATCCGAACAATTCCTCAGAGCACTCCCCGTGGTATATGCGAAAGAAAATGCAAAGAGATGCAACATCTCTTCGCAGCGCCAGTGAATCGAGCCGATCGGAAAGCACTCGGTCGTCGACGATTCGAGCCGCTCTACGCTGGATGCGGTCAAGTGGAAGGAGCTGGCACTGGGGAGCCCCAGCCCAGAGATGGGAACAGTATTCCATGTGCGGCCGAACCTGCGCCTTGTAAAGTTGCAGGCGGTGTGCCGGCATGAAATACTGTCCCGCTCTGCTGAGCACGCCAAGCTTTTTAGTGGCCATATTGGTCTTCTCTTCCAAGTGACCACGAAACTGCACGTTACTCGATATGTTGACGCCGAGGATTCCTTGGACTCTACTGCCGCTGCCCATCTATGAGTCAGGTAGATCAGAAGATCACCAACTGATCGACCACGACGAAAACTAATCAGCTGGTGATCCTCAAGGTACATCATGAGCTGGCAGTTTACAAAGGACTCCATTGTTTTGGAGGACAAGGAGGTGATGGCGATGGTCGCCTTTTTTAGGGATCGGGTGGACGAAAGCCGTCTTCCATGATTTTGGGACTACGCCTAGGGAGTAGGAGTACCGGAAAAGATGCGTCACCGGTACCAACTCTGGAGCACACGTTCTCATCACAATTGAGGAGATACCGTCGGGCCCACTCGACTTGTGGATGTCCAGGGAGAGGAGTGCTTTGCGAACCGAGCGCTGTGTGAACGGCACCTCCGGCATGGAGCACTCACACCGCGGGATGGTCGGCGACGTACTCCCCCCGTCATTGAGAGTCGAGTTGGACGCAAAGAAAAAGCCTAGCACATCGGCTTACTCTTTTGTGGCATGGGCCAGTGAGTTGTCGGCGTCGAGAACAGATGTCCTCTCTGACGTATACGCAAACTCCAGCCCGAGGCACAAAGGAGTATTCCAATTTGTACCCCGGGTAGGAGAGATACGAAGCATCAGCCGGAGATGACACCTGCGTCTCGGTCACAAAGAGCAGAGCCGGCCTCGCCGTCTCGAGATGGTGTGGGTGGCGTTTAAGTTAGAATGAAGTACCCTGATATTGCAGAAATTTACGGATAGCGTGGCAGGGGTCGCCGTGTTCTTGTTGCTCAGCTTGCCCCGAGCAGTTGTTGTCTTGAGCGGAATTTTGCCCCCCCCCCCCAGAATACGCGGGGCAGCCTGAGCACCCACGCTCGGAAGTGGAGTAACTTAGTCATGGATGCTCAGCGAGGGATTCTCCAGGGGTGCTGGTAACCTCCTGAGATAGATCTTCACTTAATTCCGCTACCATGTTAAGGGGGGGGGGGAGTTGGGCCTTCGGCTACCTACACTCACCAGACGAAACACGGAAGCAGAGCTTCTACTTCACGCCGGTATTCAGTGAGGTCGTGGTACCACCTCGGTTTGAGCCGGCCCATACGTGCAACAGCAAAGCTGCCGCGTGGCTCTACCACTGTTAAATAAAATTGAGTATGTTTATCGTACATATTATGTATTGTGAATGTGAATCCTCACTCGTCAAGTATTGCACATCAATCACTTCTCCCTCTTCGTTTGTATTGTAATCATTTACGTAGACCGTTTTATTGGTGCTTAGTATTAGTGCTTATACAAAACACAACAGCTCAATGCTGCTGTGTTACGTATGGTGAGTGTTGAGAACCGGAGGCCCCCTGTTTACTGAATACGAAGCATCCTATCTCAGTCCTCACGGGTGACAACGCATCTGCATTTTGATTCATAATCAAGGATATATTTAGATGTCTATGGGCCATAGCATCCACTTTCCATTAGGTGGACTGTGTGCTTGTATGTCACCCTTATACTGCAAAAAAAAATGAATATATAATCATAGTCTTTAGGGCCGAATTGGCGGCAGAATCATAGTAACACACATCATAGCATAACAGATCAGTAGACTGAAGTGGCGAAGGGCTGGACATATAGCTCAAAGAAAAAATAATTGGAAAGAAAGATTGTTGAGTGGCAGCTTCGTATCGTTAAGCGAAGCATAGAGCGGAGATTGAGTAATACTCTGGTAACAGATGCGGGAAGTCGATAGATGCAGGTGGGTCAGAACAGTGCTTTGTGGCGTTCCTAGGGGAGGCTTATGTTCAGCAATGGACTCGTGAAGGGCTGTAATGATGATGATTACAATTTGTTTTTTGTAGTTGATTGGAGCAAAATTTTGAAAGAAGAAAAAAACAGATGACAATTAGCAGACATAAGAATTAGTAAGCGCAGTGGCAATAGAATGTACAAACCCGACTCTTAAGTATTAGAATATAAAATCTGTGGCCATGGAAGGAAAAGGGGTAAGGTGCTCTGCCCGGGTAGCGCCCAACACTCCGCGTGATTGTTCGGAGATGTTCTATATATGCTGTTTATGATTCGGAATGTTGATGGCGTGATTTTAGGCTTCGTTGTGTTTTCGCTTGCGGCGCGATTACAGCGCCGCCACATCACCCCCCTCCTCAGACCGGAGGTCGATAGTGCAGTCCGATTGCCGATGTGTCATTAAAAATGCCGGTGGGGAATGCATGCTGTGTGCGTAAGGGCAAGTGACACCGGTGCGAATGATATGCCGATGTGTAATGCATGCCGTACTACGCACTGGCAAGTGATGCCGGTGAGAACGATGTGCCGGAGCAAGTGCCAGAAGTCTGCCTTATAAATATGCGGTGAGTCGAGATGAAGACAAGTTGGACTGGCTTGCAGGAACTGAAGACTACAGAAGGCGATTCTCAGTAGTGAATGGTAGGGGTTCTTGAGGATAATGACGAAGGCTTGAAGTTGTAGTTTCCGAAGGTGTTTGGTTGCTTGTTCAGATCACGTCGGGTGGTCACCACTGTGGCCGTAGAAGGAAAAGGGGAGATCTCCCGCCGGGCAAGGTGCTCTTCCCAGGGAGCGTCCAACACTCCGTGTGATAGTTCGGAGATGTTCTAAATATGCTGTTTATGATTCGGAATGTTGATAGCGTGATTTAGGCTTCGGTGTGTTTTCGCTTGCGGCGCGATGACAGTGCCGCCACAAATCTAAGCTTCTAATTCAAACATTATTTGTTTTAATTTAGACAGTAATCCAGGCGGAGCTTGAAGAGCTAGTAGTAAATACAGCTCTACTACAATTAGCGGGGTATGCACCACCTGCACAACCTTATCACCCACCTTGTATTCAGGCTTTGCCAGAGCATGACAGGCAGGCATATGACGCTATTGTGCGCTGTCTTGAACATCTCGCCATATACCTAAAGCTTTGTGGAAGTGGTAAGTAATAATTGAAATGTACTATTATAACATGTAATTATGACGCAAATTGGAGAAAAGTTTTTCTTTAAATAAGACGGAAAGGAAACATCCAATCCAACTTGGCTCCATCCATCCATTACAGCGTGTAAAAGTTCACTGCAGAACATAGACCTTCCCCATAGATTGGCTAGAAAGGGAGATTTTGCCACAGTAGCCAGTAGTTTTTTATAATTTTGAGTTGTTATCAAGAAGACACTGCTGTCCTCTGGTTTGTTTCCCTATGTCGCCTTTTACGACACCCACGGGATGAAATGGTGTAGTGGAGATATTTTTACACCGCCACCACGTGGGATCCAACTTGGGTAGCCACTACACTCCACGGAATCCAACTTGGCTGGTCGATGTTAATTAGACAACAACATGTCTTCTTGTTTCACATATGTCAAACGTCAACAACGTAATTCTGTATGTTGGTATTGGTAAACTATAAAACTGTAGTAGAACTTATGGCTGGCTGCACGAGAAAGCTGAAGATTTTTCAGTGAAATGTGACCCGGTATTTATCGGACTCGTCACTTGACGGAATGACAACATGTCATTGTATTGCTGTATTCGAGGTAAAAGTTTCAGTTGTGGATTTTTGTTCCAAGTAATAGTGGTGATGATGACAATAATAGAAAATGTAAAACATGCCTATTATACCAATATAATATACAATTTTAACTGTAAATTAAATGTTATATGTAGTTTATTCAAGTATTGAAAAAAAAAAACAAGCCTAGACCTTACTTCAATGTATGGTAGCACTGTAATTCCATATTATTTATTTTCAGCTAGCAATAGCATGACAGGTAATAGATTATCGAGACCAATGCAGCGTAAACTAGTAACATTATTACAATGCGCTATGACAGACGAAGAGGGCCGGGGTAGAGCAGCGCGAGCTGCTAGGTCTCTAGGCGAGAGAACTGTGACTGAACTAATATTACAACATCAAGTAAGCCAATTACAATATAATGCTTAACCAAGTATCTCCTTTAAATGGCATAGAATATTATGTTTAAAATGTATGCTGGTTCTTATGTATTACATAACAAGTGCAAATTTAGGACTCGCAAAACAAGCTAAATACATTATACTTATATACATTTTTACACATTTTTATTTGCTAATTATAACCTAATACTGACAACTATATCATTTAATTACAAGTAGTGATGTTGAGATGATAAATCACACTGGTTTAGCTTAACTAATTTAACTGTTTTACTATTGTTTAACTGTTTAACTTAACATTTTTATTGAGACAAAGGATTACATACATTCTATATACATATTATTTATAATATTTAATTTAAAAAAAAAACGTCTGTTCAGAACCCTCAACAGTTAAGTGCAAATTTATGGGCGGCTGTGAGAGCTCGAGGGTGTCAGTTTCTTGGCCCAGCAATGCAAGAAGAAGTTCTTAAATTAGTGTTATTAGCTCTAGAAGATGGGTCAGCCTTATCTAGAAAGGTAAAGTAATTTGAATAAGGATAATAAACTCTTAGATATGAATTTAGTCATAAGTAATTATAATCTATTTACTTTTTACAGGTTTTAGTGATGTTTGTAGTCCAAAGATTAGAGCCTCATTTTCCACAGGCTTCTAAAACTAGTATAGGTCATGTTGTCCAGCTTCTGTATAGGGCTTCTTGTTTTAAGGTAAGAAATCATTTTGATCTTATATTTTTGTTTGATGACAAGCCTAACACAAAATATTAATAAATCTTCTTTGTCAGCCAATAACAGTAAACTGCTAATCACGGGACTGTTCTATAGAGGACTTTCTCAAATCTCAACTAATCTGACCATAAATAATGTTACAATAATCTGAATTTATAGTTCAAATGTGTCTAATAACTAAGAAACTTTCATGTAACATATATTATTATTATTTTTAATGTTATTGTTCAATTACTCGTACTTTATAGTGTAGTAGTAGGATGTTAAATAATATAGAATTGCAGTGATTGATTTGCACGAAGGGGTTGTGGTACCGTCTGTCATTTTCAAGATACTTCATGCATCAGTCAAATACTATCAATAGGTACACGAAAAATTCAGTATGTAATTTTTTTAAGCTATATTTTTATATTTTTGCTTTATACATTAGGTTCTTATAAAATTATTTTATTTATTATTGTTTTCTAAGCAGTATTTAAATTTTAATAGCCCTCCAAGCTTTTACTGATTACGCCATAGAGGAGGCTGAAGAGTTTAATTACCTTTCTCAAGCATAGAAAGCATAGTACCTCATTATTAGCGTAAATAACTGTTGCTTACTTTGTTTAAATTGACGGAGTAACCTGGGACACACTGGTTGATAGTTTTATAATTAAGTGAATATTCACAAAATATTGGCCTTATTTTATTCAGCCTTGTTTATGACGTAATTTGAAAGTGACTAGCGGGTTGTGAACGCTTTAGAAACCAGAATTTGACAAGATCCAGAAGGAATAAATACACCTTACAGCGAGAAATAAAGATTTCTGTTTGGACTATATTGAGTAATATTAAAAAAGCTCTTTGTATCCGGTGCTGACCGTCAATACACTGAACATGCCTCAATCAGTTTCAATATCAAAGCTTCAGAGAGTAAATCAATCAAAATGCTTGATGTCCCTATAAAATGTTGGAAGACACAGAATTGAGCTCTATATATATAATGAATAAAAGACGAAAATTGAGCTCTATATAATTAATAAGAGCAATTTATTTATTTTATAAATAAATAAAATGCTTGATGTCCCTATAAAATGTTGGAAGACACAGAATTGAGCTCTATATATATAATGAATAAAAGACGAAAATTGAGCTCTATATAATTAATAAGAGCATTTTATTTATTTTATAAATAAATAAATAAATAAAATGCTTGATGTCCCTATAAAATGTTGGAAGACACAGAATTGAGCTCTATATAATTAATAAAAGACGATTGAAGAGCACTAAAACCAGCAAATTGACAAAATGTGTCTTAAGAGCCTTGAAGAAGCCTAGTAACTTTTTGAAAAGCTTAATATGGTCATCATCCTGTATCAATCATTGTTTGATTGGTGGTGTGTGTGAGTAATTACGAAGCTTTTTTTAGAATAGGGGGCAAACGAGCGTGCGGCTCACCTGATGGTAAGTGACCACCATCGCCCATGAACAACTGCAACACCAAGGAAATTACAGGTGCGTTGCCTGCCTTTCATTTCTTGAAGGTCTCTAAATCGTATCGCTTCGGAATATCGCTGGCGACAGTAAATTCACAGTTTAGTCGCGCGAGACAGAAAACTGTGCGTAAATCGGACAGTACATCCGCCAGCCATCGAGATGACGGGAATTGAATTTCGAGTTGTCCGAGTTTGGGTCGCAGTGTACGATAGTAGAATTCAGTGACTGGAATTAAACCGAACAATTCCTTTGAACACTCCGTGGTATAAGCGGTAGAAGATGCATAGGAATGCTACGTCTCTTCGCAAGGCCAGTGGCTCAAGCAGATCGGAAAGAACTTGGTCGTGGACGATTCGGGTCGCTTTCCGTTGAATACGTTCAAATTGTAGGAGCTGATACGGAGTGTCCCCGCCCAGAGATAAAAACAGTATTCCATATGTAGCTGAAACTGCGCTTTGTAAAGCGGTGAGCCGGCATGAAATACCGTCTCGATCTACTGAGCACACCAAGCTTTTTGATGCCATTTTAGTCTTTCCTTCCAAGTAACTGCGGAATTGTATGTCACTCGAAATGTCAAATTGGAATCCTTGATGTCGCCAAGGATTCCGATGCTGACTGAAGCAACGAGGAGAGTGCCCTAAAATTGAGGAGATATAACAAAGGGGTTCCTTTTTTGGGGTAAACAGAACCTTTGTACAAACTTACGATAAGACTGCTTCTGTATCTTGATGTGTGTACATAAATAAATAAAAAAAAAAACACACAAACGTGAGTCTCTTGGGGGTTAAACTAGATTTTGTCACTCCCAATTCGATACTCTGTTTAACAAAGACTCGATTGCAGACACTAGTTGTTTCCGCACTCGACGATGTGTTCCCGAGAAATATTAGCACGGCCGGTGTCTGCATAACAATGAATATTACTGCAACATACACAAATATACTAAAGAACACGAAGTTACGAAATAAAACTAAGAAAAAAGTAATGACTGATAAAATAATTATGGAGAATTAAGAGCCTGTCTTGCATCCTGTAGTGAAGCCTCTCAACGATTCACTTTTTAATAATGTATATGATGCATTTTTGCCTCGAAAACGAAAGTTCTGGACTTTATAAGAGCTGTGGACTAGCCCCCGTAAGACTGTCCATTACCCCATATCGCCCCGTGGGGGTCGTAAGAGGCGACACAGGGAAATTAAAACAGGTCAGCAGCATCTTCCTTCTCTACAATAATAAATAACTCCTGTTTACCAACCCAACCGCCAAGCATAATAGCAACTGTGATAAAATCCCCCATATGGGCAATCTATAGGGAGGGTCTGTGTTCAGCAGTGGACTATTATAGGCTGTATTAGATGGATGGACGGTGAAAGAACATGGCCTGCTTAAAATGTCATTCTCTGGTATTGAGCGTTTCAGGAAATCTTTATTATTAGCAGTAGCATAGTTCCCTGTGGAGACAGTGTGTAATGAAATGAATGAGTGAAATGAAATGAATGTTTTTTTATTCAATATAGATTAGATTACATAATACTTATGGAAATCATCTTTTCATTCACCGCTGGTTCGGATAAAAAACTTCTGTCCTGGGAAGAACCAGCAAGAAACTCGGTGCTACTTTTTTTTAAACATTTTTCAGTTAACAATAATTTATCTTGTATAATTTTTTTATTATTTTTTATAGAACCAGCATGGTAGCGATCAACTCATTCCCAGGGGCTATATTCATTTATGTGTTCTTTGATATTATGATAACCCTTTTTGTACAATTTTTCTTTAATAAATCATTTAAACTTGTTTAATGACAAATTATGTATATTTTCTGGGATTTTGTTGTAAAAGCGTATACATTGCTTGTGGAATCTAGTTAACTGGTATTACAAGTTTACAAGCTTATGTTTGTTCCTATTGTTTTAAGTATGAACATCTTTATCCTTATGAAAGCTATTTATCTTTTTATGTATGATTATGTAAGATATATTACGTAAATTCACAGATTCGAAGTCATAGGGCGAATAACATTGTTTTTAATTGATCGCTTAGACATATAAGGTTTATTATTATTACATTTTTTATTAAAATAAAGATATGCATTTTAAAAAGTAACAGAACTTATGGTCATACTAGTATATAAAATAATATTTATGATATCACACAGTTTCAGGCTGAGATTATTTTTATTTAATAAAATGAATTATTTGCTATATAAATTATTAACTTTCCGTTTGTTCTGCTAACATGTATATTATACTTATACTGTTATTCCTTCCTGTTCCTGTTCTTAGGTATCAAAACGCGAATGTGATTCTTCATTAATGCAATTAAAAGAAGAGTTCCGTACATATGAGTCATTACGTCGTGAGCACGATGCACAAATCGTTCAAATAGCGACAGAAGCTGGTCTGAGGATTGCCCCTGACCAATGGAGTGCCTTGCTTTATGGTGATACAGCGCATAAAAGCCACATGCAAAGTATAATCGACAAACTACAAACTCCGCAATCCTTTGCGCAATCGGTTCAGGAATTGTTCATAGCACTCCAAAGGACGGGGGATCCTGCGCAACTTGTTGTCATGAGTTTACATTTAGACCGCCTCGCGAATATTGATGCAAGTCCAGGTGTGTTATTATTTATGTTTATTTTTCTTACTATATAACTTTTCTAAGTTACTATTTTTTCTTAAAAAAAAACCATTACACACGCTCCATCAGGATTTTCTTCCGTATCGTGGAAGCAATTTACGCAATATCTGTTATATATTTCGTAGAGAACGACCTATCATGTTCGTTGGTGTCATAAAAATGTTTTGCTTACCGGTACGAGATTGTCACTCGAAAACTCATCGGTTGTAAATTCTTTGCGCTATATTTGGCCGGTCCATTGCAACTTCAACTTATTGATCCGTTGGGCTTTGTCGATTACTTTGCTGCGCAGTTTAGTGGTGGTGTGACGACCTGGAATGAGATGCTGGTAGTCAATTGCTGCAGGTGGCTCAGTACAGTGCTTTGTGTGACTTAAAATAGTAACTTAAAATATCGGATTTTCGATATATCCATAAATAAACTTCTATGTAAAACTCCGATATTAATATATTTATTATTAATAATGACCGATATATCGAAAACACACTATTTAAAAAAATACCAACAGTTTTAGTTTGAACTGATCAGCTGGAATGATCATCTGAACTGACCATGTGTGGCGACCAATAGAATAACAGTTACTACTTGGAGATTTTTATAATTCGGATAGTGGTGAGCGTGCATGGGTGAGCGGCCTGTTTACCAATTTAAAAATATGAATTTAAACGACAAGCCTAATGGCAGGGCGCGGACCGCGAACTCAAAAAGGTCGTGGGTTCGAATACACCATTCGACTACTGGCGTGAACCACTCGTAACACAAGCAATTTAAGCTTACCACGAGTGGTTAAGGGGAATATTAGTAATGTTTATAGCATTGTTAATATTCTTTTTTTTTCTAAAAAAAAAAAGATTATTGAGAATTGTACATTTCAGAATTCACTGAACTATTCGTTTTGTTTTACTTTGTTATGTATCTATTATTAAAATGTTCTATTTCAAATTACCTTTTACCGACTTCAAAAAGAAGGAGGTTTTCAATTCGAGTGTTTTTTTTTTTGTATGTAACCCGACATCTTTGCAGATTGTGAACCGATTTTAATTATTCTGTTTTATTAAATAGGCTTTATCTGATGGATGGTCCCATTAATAAATTATTTTGGAAAAAATTCCGCCCCCAAGGTTGGAAAATAGGGGAAGTTTCATATTAGACTGTTGTTCAAGGAATTTCATACGATATCTTCGCAGATAACAGCCGATTTTAATGATTTTTTCTTCTTAAATAGGTTATACTTCAAGATTGATCCCATATAAATTTGGAGAAAAGAATCCCCCCCAGGGTTGCAAATAAATAATTTGAACTCAGTTTTTACTTCATGTTAAAAGTTATAATCATCTCAATCACTTGTTATATGAAAAAAGCTGCGACTGTTTTATTATTTTGCGTTTTTCCGATCTAATTTCATTTATATTTTATGTAAGTAATGTTTCCATATTTAACCTGTCAGGATTAGGATAGGAGGAGGATAGGATTCGTAATTACTCATTCAGGTTTACATTATAAAATGTGAGTAATTTAAATGTTACTTTAATAAGATATGAATTATTGAAAAAAAAAAAAACAAATTTTAAGGATTTTAGAGCGTTTAATTAACTATCCTATAACTTAAATAACTTATTCTCTATTCTCGAGGCTGAGGTGTTCGACATCCAAATGTTATAGTTAATGGCGACTACTTTCAGCTTAAAATTATATTATATTTATACGTGGTATACGCTGCAGCTATATTAGTTGTAACACTAGTGGCTCGGCTAGACCAGGGTAGGACCATGCTCTCATAGAATATCAGCGTAAAATAGTAGCTTAAAGCTGCTATGTTTTGAACCGGAGACTCTTTTTATTGGAAACTAAGCATTCCATCTTAGTCCTCAGGGGTGACAACGCATCTGCATTTTGACACAATCGAAGATAAATGTAGATGTCTATGGGCCACAGCATCCACTTACCACCAGTTGGACTGTGTGTTCATTTGTCACCCTTATTTTATAAAAAAATATTTTTTTTAATTACGAATAAATAAGAAACTAGTTTCATTAAATGGGTAGTTTGCGTGAATTTAAGAAATTATCTACTGTTGTCACTAGACGCCAAGAGTCCTTCGTGGCAGCAGTTGGCCGAAGTGATAACATCCATCAAAGAAGTGGTGTCAGGCTTGATACATTATTTGCAACAACAAGCCACTGGTCGTGATTCAAACCATAATCAGAAACATAATATACAAGATCGGTGTCCAGAACCTTCTACAAGTAAGTTGATTGCATTGTCTTAATTATATATACTAGATTTCTTTTAAAGTTTAAGTCATAATTAGGTTAAGCTTCCCAGATGCATTGAATCTGTTTTGTTTGTCGCTTATTGAACTACAGCAAATAAAAAAACATTGTAGTAAATAATTAATATACACGGGGAGGACGACTTACTGCCCCATGCCGCAAAGGAGAAAGCCGATCTGCTAGGCTCTTTCTTTGCATCCAACTCGACTCTCGATGACGGGGGGAGTACGCCGCCGACCATCCCGCGGTGTGAGTGCTCCATGCCGGAGGTGCGGTTCACACAGCGCTCGGTTCGCAAAGCAATCCTCTCCCGGGAAATCCGCAAGTCGAGTGGGCCTGACGGAATCCCTCCAATTGTGCTGAGGGTGAGTGTTCCAGAGTTGGGACCGGTTTTAATGCGTCTTTTCTGGTACTCCTACTCCCTAGGCGTAGTCCCAAAATCATGGGAGACTGTTTTCGTCCACCCGATTCCTAAAAAAGGCGACCCGGCGCAAACCCGTCCAACTACAGGCCTATCGCCATCACCTCCTTGTTCTCTAATATAATGGAATCCATTATTAACAGCCAGCTCATGTGGTACCTTGAGGATCACCAGCTGATTAGAGATCGCCAGTACGGTTTCCGTCGCGGTCGCTTGGCTGGTGATCTCCTGGGTTACCTAACTCATAGATGGGCGGAGGGAGTAGAGTCCAAGGGGGAGGCGTTGGCCGTTAGTTTGGATATGGCGAAGGCCTTCGATCAGGTGTGGCACAAAGCGCTTCTTACGAAGCTTCCTTCTTATGGGCTTCCCGAGAAATTGTTCAATTGGATCACCAGCTTTCTTGCGGATCGGAGCATCAAGGTCATTGTAGACGGTGCAAGCTCCGATTACAAGCCTATAAATGTTGGTGTTCCACTAGGCTGCGTGCTATCACCAACGCTGTTTCTTCTGCATATCAATGATATGTTGCAAACCCGTAACATTCATTGCATGCAGATGACGGCACTGGTGATGCGCTAAACAAAGTCTCGGATTGGGGGCGACTAAATCTAGCCCAGTTTAACCCTCAGAAGACACAAGTTTGTGCGTGAACCGCTAAAAAGAACCCCTTTCAAGGCATTCCCCTTGTTGCCTCAGCAAGTATTGGAATCCTCGGCGTCGACATATCGAGTGACATGCAGTTTCGTGGCCACTTGGAAGAGAAGTCCAAACTGGCCTCTAAAATGCTTGGCGGGCTCGAGCTCGAGCGGGACAGTATATCATGCCTGCACATCGCCAGCAACTTTACTAGGCGCAGGTTCGGCCGCACATGGAATACTGTTCCCATCTCTGGGCTGGGGCTCCCCAGTTCCAGCTCCTTTCACTTGACCGCATCCAGCGCAGAGCGGCTCGAATCGTCGAAGACCGAGTGCTTTCCGATCGGCTCGATTCACTGGCGTTGCGATTTTCTTTCGCATATACCACGGGGAGTGCTGTTAGGAATTGTTCGGATTAATCCCAGTCGCCAAATTTCGTGAACGCACTACGTGGCAAACATCCCGATACCATCCACACCATCTGGATGCTTGGCGGTCCACCACTATACGTTTCACAAGGAGTTTTCTTCCGCGTACGACCTCCCTGTGGAATAGTTTACGACCGGCGATTTTTCCGGTCCGATATGCCTTAGGGACGTTCAAGAAAAGAGCTTACTCCTTTCTAAAGGGCGGCAACGCACCTGCAATTCCCCTGGTGTTGCGGATCATGAGCGACTGTAGCCGTATGCTCGTTTGCCCCCTCTTTTATAAAAAAATATATATTATACATACAAGTCTAATACATAAGTACATAAAAATAAATATTTTTGTTCGTATTTAATGCGCTGTCATACCGTTCATCAGAATGTGGTAAAACTTTGTCTATATATTGCTTGCACTTCCGCAAGGGTTAGTAAATAGTATTATAAAATTCTATTTAAATAATAACCTGTTACAATCGTACGTTTTTTTTAAAAGAGTTTTGTTCTCTCTTAACATTACTTTCTGAAAATGTGAATATAAAATTCCACTGCCGGTCAAGGCCCTCTCCTTACAAACGAACGCTATTCCGGACGTCCCTCCCAACTTTGACCTTTCCAATCGCTGGTGTGAGTATTATACGTCAGGCGTGAACAACATGGTATGCCCCCATGTATCGAAATCCACATGGTTTCTCTGGCATTTCCTATAGGCGCCTCCCACGGCACCATCGGGATGAAATCGGGCGATGATTTTATATAACCACCATATAGAAATAATAATATTTATGTTATGTATTTAAAAAAGTTAGTTAAAGTTACCGTCACAGCGTACTAAAGCCCACTGCTGAAGCATAGGCCCCTCCGCAGGTTTTATCATAGAGGGGATATTTGCCACAGTTGCCACGTTTAGCAAGCGGGTAGGCAACCGCATTTTTTATTTTTGGTTGTTATTAGGAAAACGTTGCTGCCCGATATGTTGCCTCTGTGTCCTCTTACGACACCCACGGGATGATATAGGGTAGTTAATAGTTAGGATATTCTTACACCGATACTACACGGTGATTACAATTAAAGTAAATCTAACATAATTTGTTTTTCAATGCCTAACAGTAAATTTCTCAAGCAGGTCAAACATTATCACAGACTACAGTTACAACTCCTACACATGTTAAGTACAAGATGTCGATGTGCCGAGATTCTGCTACCAGGTCTTTTTGTCCAAGAGGAAATTCATGCACCTTCGCTCACTTTGATGACGAAATAGAAAGGTAAGAATGTTATTATATTTTCTGAATGTGTAATTTATTATATTTTTTGTATGTAGATGTCATGAAAACCTGTCTATTTTTTCTAAATTATGAAGTTAAATTATTGCTGTTTTATATATGAGCTGCTTTTTAATTACACGAAAATACGTATTACTGCAGGCTGGATCACCTCAATAGGAGAGAACTTAACATTTCTGGGTATTACTTTGAAACTTGGTATGTTCTTGTTATTTTGGGTGTTTAAGTTTAGAAAATAATTTATTAAAGTTAGCAACACACTTTTTCATGGATTTTAATAGAACATGTTTTGTATATTCCATAATCGATAATATCTATGAAGCTTATAATAATATTAGCATTGATAATATTAATAATATTATATAGCTATTGCGAAGTTTTTAATTTATATCGTTTTGTTGCGAAATGTATTTGCGCAAATGCTAATAACGTTCTTGCAATGATAAATGATGAATGATAAATGCCAAAGTTGGAAAATCTTTTTTCCACTGGCATTTATCTCATGTCATTGTTTCTGTGCATTCAAGCGAAAGTATTATATAGCTTTTGTAATGAACTGTGCGCTTTGTGTTGTTATTTTCTATATGAAGTGTCTCTCGAGTTTTGTATATCTTGGAAGTTAAATGTAGTGAAATGGTTAATTAATACTATATTGTTGCTAGCACGAGCGAAGTGATAATGCATTAAATTTTTTTTATAGCAGAGGGGCAAACGAGCATACGGCTCACCTGATACCTGTAAGTGATTATCTCCGCCCATGAACAACTGCAACATCAGGGAAATAGCAGATGCGTTGCCGGCCTTTTAAAAAGGAATATGGTCTTTTCTTGAAGGTCCCTAAGCTGTATCAGTCCGGAAAACTGGTGGTAGTCGATTCCACAATGAAGTTGTGCGAGGAAGAAAACTTCTTTTAAATCGCACAGTGGTGGACCGCCAGTCATACAGATGGTATGGATGGTATCGCGAGCACTTCCCGTGGTAGATGTGATAAAATACGCAAAGTGAAAAAGTGAGTCAAGCCGATCCAAAAGAGCTCGGTCGCCGACGATTTGAACAGCTTTGCGCTGGATGCGATCAAATGGAAGAAGCTGGCACTGGGGAACCCCAGCTCAGAGATGGGAACGGTATTCCATATGCGGCCGAACCTGCGTGCGCCTTGTAGAGTTGCAGGCGGTGAGCCAGCATGAAATACTGTCCCGCTCTGCTGAGCACGCCAAGCTTCTTAGAAGCAAATTTGGCCTTCTCTTCCAAGTGACCACGAAACTGCAACTCATTCGATATGTTGACGCCGAGGACTCCGATAACCTCAATATAATTACGGCTTAGATACGAGTACTGGCTGAGGCAATAAGAGTAGTGCCTTGAAACTTGAAACTGAGATACGACGAAGGGGTTCTTGTTAACTGTAAACGCGCAAACTTGTGTCTTTGTTCAACAAAGTGTCGACTCCAGACACAAATTTGTCCCGGTACTCGGCGACGTTTTCCCGAGAAATATTGACACGGCCGGTGAATAGTGCTTTCGTCTGCATAGCAATGAATGTTACCGGTTGCCAACACGTCATTGATATGCAGTAGAAACAGCGTTGTTGATAGCACGCAATCTTTTGGAACACAGGCGTTCGACCTTGATGCTTCGATCAACAAGAAAACTGGTGATCCAATTGCACAATTTCTCGGGAAGCCATAAGAAGGAAACTTCGTAAGAAGCGCTTTGTGCCACCCGATCGAAGGCCTTCGCTATGTACAAACTAACAAAGCCAATGCGTCCCCCTCGGACTCTACTGCCTCTGCCCATTTATAAATTAGATAACCCAAAAGATCACCGGCCGAACAAGCGCGACGGAAACCGTACTGACGTTCGCTAATCAGCTGATGATTCTCAAGCATGAGCTGTTAATAATGAATTCCATTACTTTACAGAACAAGAAGGTGATTCGGTTTGGGTACACGAAGGCTTTCTTCCATGATTTCGAGACTACGCCTAGGGAGTAGGAGTACCGGAAAAGACGCGTTAAAACCGGTGCCAATTCCTGAGCACACGTCTTCAGCACAATAGGAGGGACGTCATCAGGCCCACTCGACTTGTTGACGTCCAGGGAGAGGAGTGCTCTGCGCACCGAGCGTTGGGTAAACAGCACATCCTGCATGGAGCACTCACACCGCGGGATGGTTGGCGGTGTATTCCCCCCATCAAGAGTCGAGCTGGACTCTAAGAGAGAGCCCAGAAGAACTCTAAGAGAAGAAGCCCAGAATTGGCTTTGTACTCTGCGGCATGGGCCGGTGAGTCGTCCTCCCTGTGCAGAGATGGGAGAGATGGCTGACAGAAGTTTCCTTGGACTTCCTTGGCGAGAGACCAGATGCATGTGTTCCCGAATGAAGACGAACTAGTTTTTCGCCAATTCTGGCGATTTGCTTCGACTTTGCCTTGACAACGTCACTGTTGAAGGACCTGGAGGCAGAATTATACGTCTTTTAAAAAGACGTATAACGTCTTTTAAAAAGACGTATAATTCTGCCTCCGCTAGCGCTGGTATTTGCATCTCGAGACGTCGGAACGTGAGCCAAGCCTGGGATCACTCTTGTTTATGACGTAATGCAATTTTGCAGGAGCGACCAAACCAAGGCTGGGATGTGCATCCGATAGGTACCACAGATGATGGAATAAAAAGTTCCATTCCCTGTAGCACAACATTAGCGACAGAATCAGCAACAAAGCTGGGATCATCCACTAGGGGCATCAACGGAGACCTGATATCCGTCCGGATGAGAGGGCAGCAGAAGGCTCAACAGGGAAGTTACATGACCTTCCACATCTGGGATCCGCGTAGGCGATGTAACCAGTTGTGTCAGACCATATGCCAAAGCAGTCATAAACAGATCTACCCGCATGATCGGTTAAACGAAAAACGTTAAAATCACCAAGCGTCACGATCTCTACGGATGGTCACGTCATGATCAGTCCGTCTGTGTCGGCATTACCGCTATGGGACCTATAGAGGCACCCTTAGACGCTGGGATGTTCGTCGTTGTGTACGCGCAGCCATAAGATGGACAGGTCCGTACCTTCAAGGCTGCTGAGGAGTCGAAAACAGATGTCCTCTCTGTCGTACAAGCAAACTCCAACCCGAGGCACAAAGGAATGTTCTGATTTGTACCCCAAGTAGGATAGACACGAAGTATCAGCCGGAGAGGACACCTGTGTCTCGGTTAGAAAGAGCAATTCCGGCTTCGCCATTTTCAGATGGTAGTGGACGGTTTTAAGGTGTGAATGAAGTCCCCTGATGTTGCAGAAATTCACGGATTGCGTGGCAGGGGGCGCCTTTGAATTATTGCTCTGTCTCGGGTGGAATCCCCCCGAAACAGACGAAATGCACAAGCAAAGTTTCTTCTTCACGCTGGTCTTCTGTGAGGTTGTGTCGCCGGTTCGAGCTGGTTCATACGTGCAACAGCAAAGGCTGCTGCGTGGCTCTGCCACTGTTAAAACACATATACATTAACGAAAGTGCCCAAATGTAGAGTACAGACTGCGACTCTAAACGTAGTAAACTCGAAACTGCACCTCTAACATAAAAATAATATGCTATTGTTTTTATTATTGTACCAATATTTGAAATAATGTTCTCGTTTCAAATATAATGCCAACAAAAACATAACTTGTAAATAAAATTAAGTCCGGCAACTCAGTTCTTCAACTGTAAAAATTTGTGAGACCCATGTATTTTTTTATAGAATAAGGATTTTTTTATAGGATATTGTAACAAACGAGCACACAGTCCACCTGATGGTAAGTGAATGCTGTGGCCCATAGACATCTACATTTATCCTCGATTATGGATCAAAATGCAGATGGGTTGTTACCCCTGAGGACTGAGCTTGAATGCCTTGTTTCCAGTAAAAAGGTTTATTGCAAATGTGCGGCAATATTTCACGGCATAAAAGTTGCTTACACTATATAAAGTCCATATCCGGTCATACATGAAGTATTGTTGCCCTATATGGGCAGTTGCTGCAAACTGCCACCTAGCAACTTTGCAGCTTAGCACCAATCTTACCAGTCTCGAGTATAGGCGCAAAGTAGGCGGCCTTTCGGTTTTTTTACAGGATACATTTTGGAGAGTGTGCGCAGGAGTTGCACATTGAATTCGTTAAACCAAATAATAAATCGATTATTATTTGTATATATATATATATATATAACAAATAAATATATATATATATATATATATATATATATAGTGCTCTTTATATCATCATGTTTTACCAATCATATACTTTTCAAGGATTTAACTGTTACATGAATTGTCCGACATTATTTTTCAGTCAATAATCTATTTTTTGTTTTAAAAAGTATGGATCATTAACGCTCCGTGGCGCAATGTTCAGAGCTTCCGGGTCTGGATAGCTGTTCTTGTGACATTTATGTTTGTAAATTGCCCCCACGATACAGAAGTAAATCCTAGTGTGGAGGTAACGTTTTTTAAAAGAAATGTGAAGATAAAAGTAACTTTAATTTAACAATTAGCCTTTGACCGAATTTTAAGCTATTCCCAAAACCTGAGATAAAATTTTTAAATCACAAGAGATAAGATAAGCGCCGCGATTGACAGCACCTTTGTTATTGGGATGTATATAAACTTTTATTTTTGTAGGAATTACATTTTGTAGTAAGTAAGCTGTCCGTCCTCCTATATAAAGTATGCAACTATATAGATTTGCCCATCGTGAGTAAGCGACGGCGATGATGAAGACGGAAAAAATGTGAAAGGTTTAATAATGACAACGGCCGTTACACGTGTAACTTTTCTTATGATGTTCCGAAATATGTTATAGTTGGATACCTTAAAGTTACTATTTACAGCGGCTCCGGTATCTTATTCCTTCTTTTTGATAGTTTATAAATAATACGAGTTTACGTACAAAAGTTTTGTTATGACTGTAATAAAGCAATTATTTTTTACCTCGATTTATTAATGGTTTCAT